GTGTGTGTGTGTGTGTGTGTGTGTGTGTGTGTGTGTGTGTGTGTGTGAACGCACAGAGACCGCCACCAGCCTGTCCCCAGAGTGCTGTGAGCGGCTGGTTGAGAGAGGAGCCAACGTCATCGTCACACTCGTCCGCTGCTGCAACAGGAGCGTCCCTTGCATGGACGTCATCACCTACTCCGTCCAGATCCTCCTCAACCTCTCCAAGGTACAAACCCAGGCCTGCTCTGTTTATCTCCATGTTTCACACCCTCAGCATAAGAGCCTGATTTAACTGTTGTCATGGCAGCACTACAGCTTGTACAGCTTTCCATTACAAAGAGGTCACCGTTAGGGTTGTGTTAGGTTGACCGTCTCAACCACTCAGCCAAGCGTCGTGATTTAAAAGCGTTGTATTACCTTTGCATACTTTTCTCAAATCTTTTTCCTTTTGTCTGATGAAGTGGTTCAATAAGTTGAATGCATGTTTGTACTTTCTTGCTCTCTTTCTTTCCCTCTGCTCCACACACTCTCAATTTCCTCCCTCAGTACCACCAGAGCATCGAGGCAGTGTATTTGGTGGACAGCTTTGTGGAGCCGCTGCTGGACCTACTGCTTCTTTATATTTTTTTCTTTAGGAGGTTATGAAGCTACCCAAGGTACTGGATAGACTACGCAGTATTTACACGGCTCGCAAACACAAGATGGACGCTGAAAGAACTGTGCCAAAGTATGTATGTGTGTGCGTATACAGTATACACAGTACTGTATTTCTCAGAGATATACAGCTTGTAAGTGTTTGCAGCAGTAATTGACGTCTCGTTTTTGTTTTTCAGATTTGCACCGGAAGATATTGTAGACGCTCTCAGGGCCGTTGAGATGGTGGCACATCGTCTCAATGGCCACTTTCAACACATTGTGTTGAAAGTGGAAAAGCTTTTAAATCTTGATTTGTTGTCATTTTTTACTTTAAAAAATATTTTATATAGTTTCATTTTCTGTTTGTACATATCCATGTTTTGGATGTATATATTAAAACGGATGTGTTTTTAAAACACGGTGCCAGTTTCATGTATCCTTATGCGTTTACATTGTTTCTTGTGCTCAAGATGTGTGTGTTGAAGAAAGTCACAGTAAAGTATGTCACATGACATTTAAAATACGCTTTAAAAAAACATTATCGTAGTAGGTCATAAAAATAAGTCTATATAATATAAATTTCCAAAATAAGTAAAAGTAGTATTTCAAAAGGGTAAAAAAAAAAACAATTTTATTAAAATATGTTGAAAAAATACAAAAATGGTCATTATATACTGTGCCGTAAAAAGAAAAGTCGTGGTAAAATATGCCAGAGTTAAACCAATTCATGGTGTTTGAAGGAAGTGTTTCACAAAGGGCGTCGCCATCTCTTTCCTGTTCAGTATATTGTATTCATGTTGAGTGAATCGAATAGAAATAGTGTTACCAGTTTGACCCACATACTGCAAGCCACACTGTTTACATGAAGTCAATTATATACAATTTTTTGATTTTAGACTGCCACGGAAGACCTCGTGTGTACCGATTAGTGAACCAGTTACGGTGCTGAAAGTATTCTCCCCGTCCTCTGGGTTTAGGATCAAAAAGGGGTTTAATCTTAGCTTTTACCAGGAGATCCTGTAAATTCTTGTTTTTCCTGAATGTTGAGGTTCCTGTAATGTGTTTGTGAAAGTTCCTTCTACTTTCTCTCACCAGTTCAACAGTTGACGGGGAATATGTGGTCACTGCTGTAGGTTTAGTTTGCTGAAATGACCTTCTGCATTTTCTAAGAAAAGCCCTAGACTACCCTCTGCTGGCCAAAGCTCGAAACAACAGACTGCAGAATTAAAATCCTCCTGTTCAGTGCAGATTCTGTGAAACCTCAACGACTGACTTAATCAAGCCTGCATAGGTGTGTTTGGGGTGGAGGCTTGTAGAGCAGAGCATGGGTCTCTTTAAAGAACACTTTCATGGCTAGTGTGTGGGTCTCATGGAAACTGTCACTCTTAAAAGTGGTGGTGTCCAGGAAATCCACAGAGGTCAAACTGCTGGTGGGTTTTAGCTCGATTGATTCACTGTGACTATTGAGTGTTCAGAAAGATGTCAAAATCCCCTCTCGTGTGAGGCCACACCCCCAGATATCATCTAAAAACCTGTAATAGTACAAGGGCTTCTTAGGACATATCTTTAGGGCTGAGGCCTCCCATTCAGCCATGAAAATATTTGCATATGGGGGAGCAAATTTCTCCCCCCATAGCTGTACCTTTTAGTCAAATTGATCTCTGATAACTAATTATTTTTCTGGTCTTTTTTTGTTTGGGTGTTTCCGAAATATATTTTGTATGGCTTGTATGCCTTCTTTGATGTCAATATTAGTGTAGAGACCGTCTATATCAATTGTGATCAGGATTGAGTTGTCAGGAATGTGACGTTTTTTCACTATATTGACAAAGTGGTACGTGTCCTTGATGTCACGGGTGTGTGGTCGAGAGGATTGAGGAAGAAGCCCAGGTACTCTGCAGTGTAATATGTTTCACTGCTGCAGTCAGACACAGTGGGGTCGTGGGCTCGTTGTGGATTTTAGGAAGCATATCAAATAATCTGGCTCTGGGTTCTGAGCTGCCCAATAAACATTTATGAATTTTATTCATAATTGGGAGTTGGTGAAAGTGCACTGGCCATTTAAATGAATCTTGTGATAACGGTTCTAAAAGTTGTTTTAATTCAAATCAGAGCTCACTTGTGTTGGTTGAAAGCTGAATTCTAGTCTCACGATGAAAAATATCCGAATTCATGTTTTTAGAGGCGAGAATTCTTTACAGAAGGGCAAACCACTTATACATTGTGAGATGTTTTTATTGTATTTTTTTGGAGATTGCATACGACAGTTGTTTGTTGAGGAACCAACGCTGTGTGACCGCCTATTTTATATTTCAGTACTTTCAGTGTTTCCCTCAAGATGCCATCTTCTTCTTCTTCTTCTTCTTCTTCTTCTTCTTCTTCTTCTTCTTCGGTCGATCTCTGGACCTCATCGTGGAGCTGGAAAGACAGAATACTCATTATTTAAATATGATATGTAAGTGTTTGGTGAAACAACACACCTGTGACGAAGGACGACCTCTATAGACGGGTTTTGGAGAAGCAGCCGAGCAGGAACCGCACTACGCCCCTTGCGGAAGAGAACGGCAGTCAGCTGCTCGCGGACTAATATCACCGGTATTGAGTTGGTGAAAAGGCATTGACGAGAGTGGTGGCGCGAAATGACGGCAGTGTCCGTAAATAGATTAGAGTTTGTGTGGCTGTTCGGAGTTTCACTTTCAAGACTGCGTGCAAAGAACCAGTAAGTAGCCGTACAGTTTGGTGTTAGTCTCATTTAGTCATACGTGTTATTGTGTCATTTGCGCGGCAATCTATTCTGATAGTTAGCAGCTCGTTCGTTGTTTGCTAAGTGGCGACTGCAGGAGTCAGGACCTGTTTGTCACTGCCTGTATTCTGTCCCTGTAGTATGTCCTCATTTGAAACCAATGTATAGAGGTTTTTACTCATTATTATTTCATGTATATCTGTTTCAGAACCACACACACCAGTGACGTGCGGTGAGGCTCGTGGCTGGTGAGGCTATGACTCTTTCAGAGTCAGATTTACAAATATATGAACTCAATATAGAGCATCTTAAATCACCATTCAATTGGCAGCTTGCACATTGACTACTGGTTGTTTTTCATATTTCGTATCAGCATTCTTTACACACACAGGTAAGGTACATATTTGAATGCACCAGTGGTGTACAGTAACGAAGTAGAAATACTTCATTACTGTACTTAAGTCATTTTTTGGATATCTGTACTTTACTTTACTACTTATATTTCTGTTGACTTTTACTTTTACTTCACTTCTTTTTGCAAAGAAAACTGATACTTTGACTCCGATACATTTCCCCTGAAACCTTCGTTACTCACTACAAAATCAAATCCATCTGTAGAAACAACATGAATCATGAGACCAGCGTCGGGGACTGTGGTGGAACACAGACTGCAACAAGCAGGTTTGGTGAATCAGTGGTCCTAGCTTGCAAGTTAAATCATTGGTTAATCACGTTAATGCGCAATTGCAAACAAGTGCTCTCAAAGCCGCGGTGTTTTGATTCCCAGTGATGCCCAGGATGCTATATGCTATAGCTAGCGAGACTACATGAGCAGAATTCCACTCTACGATGACTGATTTCATGACGGAAGCAGAAATGGAAGCACCTGCTACTCCCGCAACAAACGACGGTGGTGACGAAGACCAACACCCGGGGATCGCTAGCGAGTTAGTGAGCTGAGGAAGTGTTGACAGTTGTGAGATGTTGTTGATTTGAGTCATCTTAGCTATAATCATTGCAGCACTAGTTGGCTAACGTTAGCTAACTTAACGTTAGCTAGCCACCACACCAAAGGATTGACAGGAGCCGCGAGAGCGCAGCATTAGGGTTAGCATTAGGGTTAGCATTAGTGTTAGCATTAGGGTTAGCATTAGGGGAATCCTTCCCAGCTGTGCGCAAGCTGTGTGTGAAGCTGAACACACCTCTACCTGCCTCAGCGGCCTGTGAAAGGCTGGTTAGCATCAGGACTAGTCTTCAGCCCAAGAAGAGCGAGACTGAATTCTCGCAATTTTGAAAACCAACTTCTTTTGAAGATGAACAGGACATTTTTCAGGTTCAAGTAATGACTGGGTTGTTACTTTAGTATTGATCATGTTTTGATATTGAGTCATTTAGTGGATGATCAGATGGAGTTATGATCATAGCAGTCGCCCAATTGCAGATTCAGCTTGAGCAAAACCTTTGCCTATTGTGTTCAAATCAGGCCCATAGGAGTTTACAAGGCAGGTGTCCTTTCTCACAACACTGACCTGATGCATCAAGTGGATATGTTCTGCTGAACACAATATTATGCATTTGCCCTCTACATCCTCTAGTCAGAATGAGCATACTTATAAACGCACTGTTACAACTCCTTCATAGCGTCATATTGCTTTTCGGAGAGTTATGATGATAAGTTCATAGTAGATGCAAAAGTATACTTATGTACAATATATTATGTTGAACAGTGTTGCTCCTGGATGGATCACAGCCAACCCAATTATTGTCAACACAGCTCCATGTCCTTGTTCATGGTGCCACAGCACTTAAAAGAATAAACTTCATAATTCTCATAATTCTGACCCTTTGCTTTTTTATTAACAGCATTTACTTGTACTTTTACTTTCAATACTTAAGTACATTTAATATCAGAAAATTGCTTTTGATACTTAAGTACAATAAATATCAGATACTTTAAGACTTTTACTCAAGTAGTATTCTAATAGGTGACTTTTACTGGAGTAGTTTTCCAGGTATCTTTACTTTTACTCAAGTATGGCTTTTGGGTACTTTATACACCACTGGAATGCACCAGGAGCGTGTGCGCCGCGATCTGCGACCTGCGCAAATTCAGCGATTTTGATTATAAAAATGCTTAAAATGATTGAAATCATACAGAAATTACATTTATAGCACAAATCAGTGGAGAAATATTATTTATTTTATCACTATTTGTTTTTTACTTTTCATGTCAGGTGAGGCTCTGCCTCCCCTGACCGCACGTCCTTGCAACTTAAACACAATGAAGAACAATTCACCATGTTAGGAATATATCCACTGCGATTCATCGTTGACTAGAAGTCACTAGAAACCCAAACAATGTCATTTAGGCTCTTCTGTACATTAGTAAGCATCAAAGTATTCAAATTAGTTTTGGATAAAACTATTTTTTTGTAATACTTTTTAGA